TCTACATGGGACCAAATTGACAAAAGCAACCTGAAAGCTTAGACAGGAAACTTAGAGGGCAGTGAATGTATGTTAATGAGGGAGAAACAACTCAGGAAAGGAGGATAAAGGATGTTGAACAACTTGAAGAATGTAATAAATGTCAATGAATTGTAATGTAGAAAATGCTGAATTGTTGTGTTTTGCTGGGTATCTTCTTACCAACAACAAAATAAAATTTAAAAACAAAACAAAACATAGGACTAATTTTCCTAGGTTGAGGTGCATCAGCCAGGTTCCATTCTAGGCCAATGACCTCAAGTGCAGCAGTCACCTCTTCTCTGTTCGTGGAGGCTTGTATGTTGGTTGCTATGCTGCTGAACTGGTTTCAGCGGAGCAGCCAGCCTAAGCCAGTCTAGGAAATCTGGAGGTTTCCGTCTGAAAATTCAGTCAATGAAAACCTTATGGATCACAAGGGTCTGATTTCATAGTGCATTGGCTTGCCATGAATCGGACTGGCTCAGCAACACCTTTCCTAGTCAGGTTATAAAAGCATGAATTGAGAACGTGGATAAATTAAAGTGCCCTTTCTTTATTCCTTCCTCACTTCTGACTAATTTGCCAAGAAGAGAGAATAATAATTTTCTATTAAGATAAGTCTGGAAAATTTGAAGACCTTCAGAATCCATACAGGTAGTATAACCCTTGAAATAAAGGTAAATCAATTCATTCGGCACGTATTTACTGAGCACCTATCATGTGCTAGGCGCTTTTCTAAGTACTTTAAATGCCGCAAGAAAAGAAAAAAAAGACAAAAATTCCTTGCCTTCACAGAGTTTACATTGTACTGGGGAAGATCGACCAGAAGCAATGTAATATAGAACACACACATACCAGCCAATATGTAAATGGTCAGCTAAGGGTAGGCACATTGGTTAGTCTATAAAATGGGACTGCAGTGTTGCCAAAGTCTATGTTTGGCATTTCCCCTTAACAGAACAGGTGATCAATAAATAAGGAGCAAGTGACTGATTAGCTTACTATCATGAGACGAAAAATATTAAATATCATCATGGCTTTTTATTGGATGATGACTTGGTTAGCCTAAGTAGCTAGCTCCACACATGCCGAGTATAGGACCAAGAGATAAGACAAGTACCCAGTACCTTCACAGTGCCATCTGGGAATTGGTAGGTCAGAATGTAGCCATCAATCTGAGCAGAAGGGGGTGTCCAGGTCAATATCCCGCCAGACTGTGTGACACCAGATGGACGAAAGTTTTGGGGAGGGTCAATTTCTGTACATTAAAAGTCAGGTGATTATTATTATTACTAAGATGCAACAGAAGCAAGATCATTTCTGAGATTTCATTTATATTTTCTCCCTACATTTTCTCTCCTTTCCCTTTCTTCCTTCAAACCAATAGCTGACTCTTTTCGTCCTTGCCAAAGGATCTTCCTGACCATTTTTTCCAAAAGTGGAGACCTATTGAGGACAACAGGATTCAGGAATATGGAGCTAGGGGGTCCCAGGGGGAAAGAGTTTGTGCCCACACTTTCCCAACAGATCCCCAGAGTGAGGTGGGTCTGGACAGCAGACGCTCAGAGATGGCAGGGCTCTCCTCAAGTGGTGTAGAAGCATGGGAACTGCAGATCGGAAAGGGCCCTGCACAAGGACATTGGGTCTCAGCAAATTCCAGCCTGGAAAGATGACCTCAATGCCAGATGGGGTCCCAGTGCCTGGCATTGGAGAACACCTCAAGGTTTTGCATATAGCCCCAGGGAAGGAGCGGGACCCTAAATTTACAGATATTTCCACCCCACAAGCAAAGTGGAGGACTTTTGATGAAAACTGAGTTGGTATGAAATCCAAGGTTCTACTGTTTTACATATCTAAGTGTGTAGCCTTGGGTGCATACCTATTATATAAAGAATTTAGAGAGGGGACTTATAAAGGAGGACAGAAACAGGTAAAAGGAAGAAGAAATGGAGAGAAATTGGAGAGCTTTTTTTCAATTCCTGTTGTACTTCCCCACCCAGAAACCAGAGGGCATGTGAGGACACGTGTATGTGCCCTTTAGAGCAGAAAAACTAAAGCTCAGCAAAAATATTAATCAGTAAAATAATATTTTGGTCAGTCGGCTCTTCTTTTAAAAAAAAAAAAAGACATCAATGGAAATTTCCATTTTGAAAAAATATCATCATAGAAGGTGATTTTAATTTAGAAGTTTCCAAAATGAATGTCTCCAGGCTATTTTCTACCCAGTAGCATTTCAGCTGAGAACTAAATTGCAATATTTTAATAGAAATCAGACAGCTTTTGTTTTGAATTAGAGTGTTTGGGCAAATTTTGAGTTTCTACAATATCAGCTTAGTTTGACTTTTTAAAGTGTAACATCTGCACTGGATTTTATTCTATCCATCACATGGAGATAAAAAAAACTGAATTTCCTGCTTTCAAAAATACACAAAACCATAACTCTTTAAATGTTTGAACCTGGTTTCTGCCACCTCTTTGCCTACCCATCCACTAGTTATGGACTTAGAATGTCTGCCTTAGTTACACTTACATATCTACAAAGTAAAACGATGATAATGTTATTCTTGTCTTTAAAATTGGAGAAAATGAAGAAAAGATTAGAGAAGACAGTAGAGAGAAAAGAACAAAGAAGAGAGGAAAAGAGAGACAAGGAGGGTGGGGGAAACACCTTGGTTTCTAGTTGCTTCTGGAGATGAGCACTAGGGACTAGGGACTCTGAAATAGGAAAAAAAAAAATGTTTCTTTTCTTTTTAAAACTCTGCTTAGTTTGATTTTTTTTTTTTACTATAAGTGTGTAGTGCTTTCTCAATTAAAACTCCTTACTAATATAATAACATTTTTCAATGCTAGGCCCCCTTCACTCCTGTAACTCTTGCCTGGAGAGACACACCCACCCACCGCTGAGAGCTGAGCTCCATGATGCTTAGCTAATATTGGAGGTTCCATCACACATACACATAATACATGTGGTCCAAGCACCTTGAATCATCAACTGGAGACAGGGAGTTGAGGAAAATGTTCTACCACCATCCCCATCACGGAAGATGGAAACAGAAGAAATTCCTCTCCTTTCTCTCCTCTGAATGGGAGTTGAGGCCAACCAGGTTCTAATACCCCAACAAGAGAGCTTGAGAGTTGGGTTGAGTAGAGAGGTTAGTGAGGAAGGCCATCCTTGCACAACTATCTTGAAGTGTTTACTTTTAAATTGCTTCATCTTCGCTCTTTTTATCTTATTTGAACACTTGTTATGTCAGTATAATACCTCAAAAAGTAACAAGGGACCACCTGAGGAGTGACCTGAGGTGAAACAACTGCCTCCCCCTCTTTGGTCTCCTCAACCCCTCTTTCTGGACATGTGTGAAGAGTTCCCCGTCTTTGTCCCTCACAGTACCTGTTAGGGCTTTGGTGTCAGCTTTTTTGCTCTCTCGGCTTCCCTTCTGGGCCCACACGTGTACCGTGTACTCCACACCTGGTCTCAGGCCTGTCAGGACGGTGCTGCTCTGATCCTTCCCTACTGGGACCTCTTTGGTATCTCCATCGGCAGAGGTGTAGCGCACCACATACTTGTCAATGTCGGCCTGCACTGGGTCCCAGGAGACGGTGGCCGTGTTCTCTGTCACCCGGTCAGTCACCAGGTTTTGAGGACTATCAATATCTGAAAGGAAAAGTATTAATCAATAACCATTATTGACAGACCCCCAGGTGTGGAAATCGGTGACCATTTTCTTGTAGCAAGTCCTATCATGTTTTGTGGCTTTCCATCTCATATGGTCTTGTTTAGTTTTAGAACTGTCTGATGGATCTATGACTTGTCTTGTCTCCCAAACAGACATTAGTTTCTCAAGAAGATAGCAGAGTATACCAGAATCTGAAAATCTGGGTTATATTTCTACTATGAGTTCAGCAAAATGAGTCTCTTTCTTCATTCATATAGGCTTATTGAGCCCTATTATGTACACATCCTTAGTGGTGCAAACGATTAACATGCTTAGCGATTGATCAAAAGGTTGGAGTAAGTCCACTCAGAGGCCCCTCTAAAGAAAGGTCTAGAAATCTATTTCCAAAAATTCAGTCATGGAAAACCATATGGAGAACAGTTCTTCTTTAGTGCGTATGGGGTAGCCATGAGTCAGAACCAACTCAATGGCAACTGGTATACTATGAACAACACTAGGTATTGTACAAGGCACTGTATTAAAGGAAACATTGTCTCTCAGAAGGAGCTAGTTATTTTTCATTTAACAGTATGTCTATGAAGGTCTACCATTTTATACATGAAGATTCTAAAAGCCAGATCCAAACATAAGTATCTAGAGAAGGAGAGCTGCATCCTGTCCTCATTGTGTCCCCAGTGCCTACTACAGTACAGGGCACAAGGAAATTGCACAATAAACATTTGTTAAATTAATCAGCACAATGTAAAACTGTTACAGTATTCTTTAAGCTATCATGGATTCACTTGTAATATTGGCTAAATCATGACACAAAATATGGTCCTAGATCTCTCTCACAGCAATAAGACAAGAATAGAACACTGGAGTTATCTTTATCCTTAAAACTAGCATTATAAAAATCATGTGACTCATTTATAGTAAAACAAACCACACACATCTACTTGCTATGAATGATGTAAAATCTACTTTCTCAACATTGACTTTTCACTCTTAATACTAACAGTATTTAATTTTCATTTTCTGTTTTCATTCACAAACTTTGTGAGGGTTTACAATACTGTCTACTTCAAAGGGTTGGAACCAAAGGAGGGGAAGATGGACATGATCATCCAAACACAGAAAAATCACAGCTTGTACACACGGCTTAGAAAAGAAATCAGTTGAAGGGAAGTGCAGACTGGCATGTGTAGTCATTTATGGAAGGTCATGATTCCACTCCTCTATAAATCATCAATTCTGCAAACATCAGGAAAGGAAAAGCAAACTTGACAAATTATAGATTTATAATGACAAGTGCTACATCACCAAAGATGCTCCATTACCTGTTGGGGCCTTGGTATTAGCCTTCTTGCTCTCCTGGCTCCCCTTCTGGGCCCACACATACACTGTGTACTCCACACCCGGCCTCAGGCCTGTCAGGACAGTGCTGCTCTGATCCTTCCCCACTGGGACTTCCTTGGTCTCTCCATCAGCAGAGGTGTAGCGCACCACATACTTGTCAATGTCGGCCTGCACTGGGTCCCAGGAGACGGTGGCTGTGTCCTCTGTCACCCGGTCAGTCACCAGGTTTTGGGGGCTGTCAATGTCTAGAAGAAAGTTGTTAATCAATAAAAACTATTAAGAGTCATCAAAGATTCAAATCTTGTGTCCTTTTCACTGGGGGCAAGACCATTTCCTCATATTATATCTTTTCCATATCATATGCTCTGCTTTCCATTTTTGCATGGACATAAAATGTCTCCACTTCTGAACTCTTGAATTCTCAAAGAGGCAACACAGAAAAGAGTGAGCACTAGAGCTGGCAACATAAAAGTTGATTTGAGTCCCAGCTCCAAGAAGCAGAGCAAGACTGAAGAACTGGGCTGGAGCCAGGACACCAGGGATCTAGGCCCAGCTCTGCTCTCAGACAGCTGTGGTGTTGAACAGCTCAACTACCTCTAAATGGGCCTCAATTTCCTCATTTGTAAAATGTGTATCTTAAATAGATTTTGTTGTCAAAATATCCCATAAATCCAATTCTATGAAATACTAACTTCACAGCCTAATAAAAATCACTCACATCTCTTTATTTGAGATTTCTCATTGACAATAGGAGATATTGATTCCTCCTCTACCTATCTCAAGACAAATGCCTCTGAGGACCAAGTACATGAGGAAAAAGCCCTCACCTGCAGCTGGTAGAATATAAAGTTATACAACTGCTTGGGAAAAAGTTTGGCAGTTACTCAAAATATTGAACATAGAGTAACCATAAAATCCTATAATTCCACTCTTAAGTGTATACTCAAAAGAAGTGAAATACATGTCCACATAAAAACTCTTATACAAATATTCACAGCACCATTATTCATGATAGTTAAAAAATGGAAATAATCAACTGATGAATGAATAAGTAAGATATAGTAAATCCATACAATGAAATATTATTTGGCAATTAAAAGGAATAAAGTACTGACAAGTGCTATACCATGGGTGAGCCTTGAAAATAGTAAGCTAAGGGAAAGAAGTCTATCACAAAATGCTATATATTATAAGATTATATTTTTATGAAGTGTCCAGAATTGCAAATCTGGACAGGAAGTAATGGTGCCAGGGACTGGTAAGTTAGGGAGTAATAGGGCATGAGATTTCTTCTTCTGATGAAAAAGTTCTAAAATTAATTATGAAGCTTATACAACTCTGTGAATATGCTAAAATTCCTCTTTGTGTGGTTTCTCTGTATCATATACACATTTTATAGTAGGTATGTCATATACTAATAAAGCTGTTTTTAAATAAGGAAACAGATATGAAAGAGCTTTAAGAATTATGAACCGCTGATTTGCATAGCATAGTACACAAAGACAACATTCTACAACTTACTTTGGTGAATAGTGTCTGGGATCTCAAAATCTCATGAATAGCCATCTAAAGTATAACTATTGGCCCCTCCATGTACAGAAGAAATGAAGGATGAAACTTTAAGATGCTTGGAATCAATGAGTCCAATGGACTAATGGAACATGTGAACATCAGTCTCCATGACTCTGAGATCAGAAGAACTAGATGGTGCCCAACTACCACTACCAACTGCTCTGAGAAGAATCATATTAGAAGATCCTGTAAAGAGAGGCAGGAATTTTGGAACAAAACTCAAATTTATTGAAAAATACCAGACTTATTGATAAGAAGGAGACTGGAGAGATGTGAGACTATGGCCCTCTACCACCCTTCAAGTCTAGAAAGGAACTCACCCACATGGCCCGATTTTCACCCAAGGAGTAGATGGGTTCACAGGGGTAACAACAACATTAGTAAGGTATGCACCCCATGGAATGGTCAATTGTTCAAAATCAAAAGTGCAACATTTATCTAAGGGAAAAGTTGAGAAGGGATGGGAAGGAGTGTGGAATGGAAACAGAAATCACAAGGATGAAATGGGGTAACTGTTGTTGCATGGAGAGGATTGAAATCATTAACATAAAAAAGTATATGATTTATTGAATGTAAATCTGATGATCTTGTCTGTAAACTTTCAATTGATTCACAATAAAAAGTTAAAAAAAAAAAAAAAAGAATCATGAACTGCTACTGAATATAATTTCAAGCTTAGAATCCTCAATACTGGGCACACACACAGTAGGTGTTCAAGAAAGGATTAATAACCTAAGAAGGCAATAACCTTTCCTTGTTCCAAAGAGTTCACCAAAAAAAGGCTCACAGCTCCTAACATACATGATTTCTGGCTAGCTCCTCCCTTTCAAGAAGCATTTAGTGATTGATCACAAAGCAAGCACACAATTACAGTAAGAGTGGGTGGATATGACCAATCACCATTAATCTTCACAATACCAAGTATCAGGTCCTTCTTTTAAGTGACTGTGTTAAGGGGAAGTGAGGGATGATATGTGCAGTATGTCAGAGTCCACCGTCCTGTTCTCCATAAAGCTTAGCATGACAGGTGTTCCACGTCACCAAAGAAAGATGCTCCATTACCTGTTGGGGCTTTGGTGTCAGCCTTCTTGCTCTCCTGGCTCCCCTTCTGGGCCCACACATACACCTTATATTCCATGCCTGGCCTCAGGCCTGTCAGGACGGTGCTGCTCTGATCCTTCCCCACTGGGACTTCCTTGGTTTCTCCATTAGCAGAGGTGTAGCGCACCACATACTTGTCAATGTCAGCTTGCACTGGGTCCCAGGAGACGGTGGCTGTGTTCTCTGTCACCCGGTCAGTCACCAGGTTTTGGGGGCTGTCAATGTCTAGAAGAAAGTTGTTAATCAATAAAAAGTATTAAGAGGCACCAAAGATTCAGTCAGATCCTGTGTCCTTTTCATTGGGGGTGAGACCATTTCCTGTTTATGTAGTTTTCTTATATCATATGCTCTTGTTGGTACTCGGCTATTTTATGGACTAGACTCCACAGCTGGACTCTTGAATACTCAAAGAGGCAACACAGAAGACAAGAGTGAACACTAGAGTTGGCAGCAGAAGAGCTGGTTCTAGTCCCAGTTCTGCTGTCAGTCAGCCGGGGCCCTGGACAACTCAACTACCTTTAGATGGGCAGAGTCCAGGCTTGTTGAAATTCAAGTTTTCTCTATGCAATAATAATCCGTGCATCTAATTTAACAAATTAAATTTGTTTTGTAATCTTAAAAAAGTCACTTCACTTCTTTGTGTTTGTGTTTCTTGTCTCTAAAACAGAGTTTGTTAATAGTTATTTCATATACCTCTCTGGGGTACTCTGGAAATCCAGATAAAAATGTCACATAAAAAGGCGCTTTGAAAATGTTTACAGAGTAGAACTAACATTGGTGTTTGAATATTCACTCCACACTATGAAGCATCAAGGGCAAATTAACTACTCTGCCTCAACTTCCTCCACACACACCCCCACAAAAAATGAGGAGGTGGGGATAAATAATAGTACATAATTAAGTTGTAGAGTTGTACTATGTGAGTTAACAACATGTAAACCTTAAGTGTAGCAACAACTGTAAGAATGGCGCAGGACCATGTGGTGCTTCATTTATTCTGTTGTGTATGGGGTCTCTGTGAGTCAAAACAGACTCTATAGCACCTAATAACAACAACAAAGCTCTTAGAACAGTCCCTGGCACAGAATAGATGCCCAATGACTATTGGATATATTATTAATGACATCATTTTTATTGCTTTTAAATGCAAGAGATTATGCTCTTCAAAATCATGGACATAGAAGGTTCTCAAAAATGCATTCATCAAGAAAATAACAGTTCTGCCCAACCTTGCAGATAGTACCATTTGACCTAGCTTCGATGGCTTGATGATCAGAACTCAAATAGATGAAGATAAAGAATTTGATAAAGGGAACAAGTGTAAACTGCTACAATTTGATCTATACTTATGGATATAGTAGCTCAGTTGGTATTAACCGAGAGGGAAGGAGTCTTCACATCAAGGATCAAACATATCCCCTCTGTACACAGAATCGATAGGGAGGGGCAACTTAGATATTGGCTACCTAAAAGGGGAGGCTATAAAGGCATGAAGTGGCTGGTTTACAAGTTTTCAAGAGGGAGTTTAGTTTCAGAGAGTGGGGGATGGTACAATCCCCACTGAAAAGTTTTCATCTTATCTAGATATGTCTGGTGAAAGGTGATGGGGATAAGATTCTAATGATTCAATAGTGAGTAATTGTTATCAAAATGTATTGCGATTGTCACAACTGTAAAGATAGAAGTTTTGTAACATAAAGGGGGAAGTAGTTAATCTTACAGTCCAGGAACAGAGGACCCTAGGACCATCAAGGGAAAAGAACATGAGAATAATATGGGACCTTATCCAGAGAAGCAGCGACACCAGAGATGGAGGCAAAAAGGATGACATCAAGAGATAGAGTAGCTGTTAGGAATACCTAAAATGGGGCTACAATGTGCCCAATGAAGGAGGCTTCCTGCAGAGCCTCTGCATTACACAACACCATAGGTGGAATCCTGAACAGCATCCAGAATTGTCTGAGGGGAAATTTCCACTTGAAAGGACAATCACACCAGCCTGGAGTGGCCAGAAGAACAGAAGATACTTCCTGAAAGAAAGATTGACAGGAAAAATACAAACAATAAAGGCAGACCGACTGATTACTACTACAAGAACAAACAAGTGGCTCACCCAGGAGACATCAAGGCAAGTGGCCGGGTCCTCTTCAGAGCAAACCCCCTTTTAAGACTAAGACTCAATGGGAATACACACTCAGATTGGCGACCATGTTCATCACCAATAAAGGGAAGTGAGAGAAAAGCAGCAATGAAGCTGCGAGCTGAGTCCTACAATGCTCAATAGACTCCTGTGAACCCAGATGGAGACCTGGTTGACCAGCAACGTGGCAAGTCCAGGGCACTCTTGGACCCAGAGTCAGTGACATAGCCACAGAGGAATAGAATTGAGAGTGAAGCATCCAGCTGATAAGAAGAGAGGGCATATGCATAAGTACACCTACACTTGCAGATAATACCCACCTGGCTTCAATGACTGGATGATCAGAGCTCAACAAAAGAAGAAAGAAGAGGGGAAAAAGAATTATCTGATACAATTTGATGAACTTGACATACACCTATGGAAGCAGTAACTCAAAAAAGGGAACAAATCTTCACAGCGAGGATCATTCCCACCCCCTCCACACAAGGAGAGGACAGGGATGGGCAACTTGGACATTGGCTACCCAGAATGGGGGTGGCTACAGAGGCAAGAAGTGACTGACTTACAAGCTTTCAAGAGGGAACCTAGACCCAGAGGGCATGTAGCAAGGTAGAATCTCCACTAAGTAGTATCCATTCTGTCTAGTCGGGGCTGATGAAAGGAGATGTGGATAGGACTCTTGTGATACAATAGTGAATAATTGTTATCAGGACTGATTGTAAGAGCTGGAAATGTAAAGGTAGACATTTTGTGGCAAAGGGAGGGGAGTGATTAACTTTTCAGTCTAGAAGCGGAGGTCCCTGGGACCAGCAAGGGAGAAGAGCAGAGAACAGAACACTACGCAGAGAAGCAGTGATGCCAGTGATGGAGGCAGAGACGATGACATAGAGAGATGGAGTGGCTGGGTACTTTGGACCCAGAGACAAAGAGGGGCTGTGTGTGGATGACCAGGGAGCAGGCTTGTAGGGTATACCCTTTGGTTGGTGGACGATGCATGGAGGGGATTGTAACCATGGCAAGGGAATGATATACGACAGGATCAATGTAAAGCTAATGCCCTCCCATGTAAACTATCACATAATTCACAATAAAGCATTAAATAAATTTAAAAAAAAAAATTTTTTTAAGAGATAGAGCAGCTGAGGACTCTAGACTCATGGAAAGAGAAAGGCTGTGTGCTGGTGGCCAGTAGACAGGCTTGCAGAATGTTGGTTTTTTTAATGGTTATATACACAGGTAAACACTCCTGAGTGTTTCTGTGCACATGAAAAAACAAAAACAGGGAATATATGTCTCCTCTTTGCCTTCTTGCTTACATGCTTTCTGCTGAGAGATCCAAGCTTAATTTGACTTGCCTGTCTTTGTATGTAACACTTCTGTTTTCCCTAGCTGCTTTCAGGAGTGTCTCCTTATCTTTGATTTTGGAGAGCTTGATTCTGATATGTCTCGGTGATTTTCTTTTGGGATCTATCCTTCTTGGGGTTCGTTGAGCTTCTTGAATGTTTATCTTTTCACTTTTCTGGATGTTAGGGAAATTTTCTTTCAGCAGTTCTTCAACTATTTCCTCTGTGGACTTGTGTGATTCTTCTTATTCTAGAATGGCATCAATAATTCTTAACTTATTCCTCTTCATCTTGTCCAACATGAATCTTAGACCTTCTTCAGATGTTTTTATCTTTTTTCTGTTCGCTCTTCTATCTTAGTGGTATTGAGAGATTTGTCTTCCAGATCACTGGTTCTGCCTTCCATCTCTTCTGTTCTACTCCTTTGCTCTTTCAGAGTATTGTCTATTTCTGATATTCTATTATTGATCATGTGGACCTCTTTCTGTAGGTTTTGAATTGTTTCCAATGCTGTATCTAACTTATTTGATTGTTCCTGTAGCGCTTTCCTGACTTCTTCCTTATTTTTCTCAACTCCATTGTAAAGTGTTTTGAAATATTTTATAATCATTTTTCTGAATTCCTTCTCAGGCATTTTCAAGGCCCGCCCTCCTTCCAGAATGAGTCCAGGTCTATCTCTATGTCATTTGTCTCAGACATTTTATCTTGTTTCTGGACATGTGCTTATATGGTCATCTGCTTTTGCTTCTTGGACAGGTTTAGTGTCTATCTGTGGCCTTAATACTTAATTGAGTATTTGTTTTGGTATTTTTGTATGCTTTCTGATTGCTTCCAAGTAGATGTGATCAGGATGTGGGCTTCCCTTTTCACTCTTCTTATTGCTTAATTCAGAGCAACTTTCACAGGTGTTGTATGCCTCCCTGGTATAGGGCAGTTGGTATTGGTTCTTGCCTGGGTTTTGGTGTTTTATAGAGTGGTGACTATATGGCACCAGTTTCTGACTCTTCTTGGGTAATATAGGGAGAGAAAGAATCCCCCCAAAGGCAGAAGGAGGAGTGTAAAACAGCAGAACAACACCAGCAAAAAAAATACCCAACAACAAAGCAAAACTAGACTGAATACTGCAGTCTATAATCACAGAAAGGGAAGAGGAAGGAGAGAAGAAAAAAATAAAATCTGTAGCCTAATATGATTATGAATTTAATGTCTTCTCTTCAGCTTCTTGCTTTGAAAGCTCCCTGAGAGATTTTTCAAGATGCCCTTGCTGGTTGTTATGCTATACCTCAGGCTTTAATTTAATTTTTGGCCCGTTTTGTTTTTAAACTCTCTTTCCCTATCTACAACCCTGTCCTGGTCTTTCCTGTATTAAAAAAAAAAACAAATTCAGGGCCGGCTCTTGGGCTGAGTATCTGTGTGCATGTGTGACGAAAGAACCCACCAGTGGTGAGGGTGAGGGTTTCCACTTGCTTAGGCACCACCACCACCACCACCCCCAGTCCAGAATGGAGGTACACAAACAGTGGAGCTGCCAATGACCAGATACCAAAAAAAAAGAAAATCAGAACAAAGCAAAACCAACAAAAGTGTACTGTCCACCTTTGCTCCAAGGTTCCCATGGCATTTTTCCATGGTGTTTCTGCTCCCCTTTCTTGGTCTTGCTGTTCGGTCTCATCCAAGATTTTGGCTCCTGGCCTCCCAACCCCAGCAGATTCAAAAGTATGCCATTTCTTACTTCAGCTTCAAGTTCCACTAGCTATAAGCCTTCAAACTTTTAAAATATTCCTAGCTCTGTGGTTCCAAGTTTTGGAGCTCTGCCCTAGATCTGCTTTGCCTGGTATTCTGTGGTATTGGTGATGGTAACTTCACTGCACCTCCACCCTAGCCACCATCAAGCCTCACCTCCCCAAAACAGGGAACAGAAGTAAATACTGTTGAATGGTGATGCATGGAGGGGATTGTAATCATTGAAATGATATGAAATATTACAGGACAAGTGCAAAACTGATGTTCTCCTATGTAAACTATTACTCAAAGCACAATAAAAGTTTTAAAAAAAGAGAGAGAGAAAAAGAAAAACACTTCTTTTTTCCAAATAATTTACTACAAAAGCCATTTCCCTAAAGTAATTTGCTCACAGGTCTTATCACATACATGAGATGGTATATTAAAGTGGAACTATTCAAGTTCTGGTGTGGCATTTTAGGATAAAGCACTGAACCACAAAGTCAGTTTGAGCCACAAGGATGGTGGTTCAAACTCACCAGCCAGTCCTTGGAAACCCTGTACAGGGTCACTATGGGTTAGAACGGACTCAACGGCACTTAGCAATAACAACAAATTCTTGTCTTGATCCCTGTGTAATATGAGCACTGGACTGCAAACTACAAGGTCAGCAGATCAAACCCACCAATCACTCTCAGAAATTCTATAGTGGGAATTGACTCAAGGACATACAATAACAACAATTTTTATCTTGGTTTAGATGGTGATCCCCCCAAAATTACTGACTAAATTCCAACATAAGGATCCAAAATCAAGTAAGGGTCAACCATTTTGTGACCCTTGGCTGAACAACAACCTCCAGCTTATAAAAGAGGTTGGAGAGGCCTAAGAGGTGGAACATAAAGAGCTCATTTCTTTGAAGAGCATTACGTATGGGTAAAACCCAAAGCCCAAATAAGTAATTCAATGGGATTGTTTACAGAACTTGTTAAACTGTATGAGGTTAATTCCAAAGTGACACTACACTATTAAACAAAAATTACAAAATGTGAAACTACTGTTCCTCAACATAGCTTCCATCTAGTTCTATACACTTCTGAAAGGAGGGTTTGTGGTGCTGTAGGCTATGCACTGGACTACTAACCACAAGATCAGTGGTTCAAACCCACCAGATGCTCCTTGGAAACCCTACACAGAATTGCTGTGAGTCAGGACCGACTCAATGGCACTTAACAACAACAGCAAACCTTTCTCCAAAGAATTCTATGTTCTTCTACTTACTTCAGACCAAAATGGTAGTTTGGGCATTCTTGAAGGACTAAAGTAGTGTTCCTTTTAAATATTCTTTGACTTTTGAGACCAAAAGGAAGGCTAGAGGAGCAAGATCAGTACTGTAGGATGGATGAGGTAAGGTTTCCCAATGAAATTCTCATAGGACAGCAGTTGTTGCCCTTAAAGAAAGAACAGGTGCATTGCTATGATGAGGGGGAAAAAATCCCTCATCACAACTTTCCTGGCCTTTTCCCACCAATGCAATTTTCAATTTTCTTAAAACTGCTTAGGAAATAATTGCCTGTGATTGTCCTGTGTCCTTCAAAAAAATCTATCAAGATGTCACCTTAGAAATCCTCAAAAAACTTTCTGCCTTTAATTTAACTAGCCCAGTAGTTTCTATTGGAAGTCACTATTTTGACTGGACTTTTTTCATTTTGAAGGCATCCTAAGACAAGTGTTATTATTGAGAGAATTTGTCTGTAGCCATCCACTGATTGCAGAGATATATTTAAACATATTTCATTTTGCTTGTATTAAACCCTCGCAGGTAGGAACTGGAAATCTAGTAGCGATCTTTTTTTAATTCCCCTTATATATAACTCTAGAGTAGTAAGCCATACCTGGGGTGACTGGCAATGTCTGGAGATTTGTGGTTGTCACAAGTGGGGGATGTTGCTGATATCAATCAGGTAGAGGTTCAAGATGTAGCTAAGCATCTATTGTTGTTGTGTCCCCTCAAGTCATAGTGACCCTGCATAAGGTTTCCTAGAGTAGCTGGTGGGTTTGAATTGCCGACCTTGCAGTTAGCAGTCAAATGATTATCCTACAGTGCTACGTCAGGACTTGGGCATCTATAATGCTCAGAATACCACACACACAGTCTTACAAAGAAGTATCTGACCCAAAATGTCAATAGTATTGAGAAACCCTACCAGAGAGTTTGAAGAACCAGTGGTCTAGTGACAGACACACACTCAAAGATCTAAGAGGTGAGAACATAGCTGGCTGTTTGGATAGAAAGCAAAGAGAGAATATAGCTGATTGTTTCTGGTAGAAAGCAGCATTACAAAAGAACTGTACATCTATCTCACTGAGTAAGCAAAGACAATCTGAGCTTTTCCCATGGACCAGATGTGGGACAAGCAAGAAAAGTGACCTGCAGATGTTTGAGAAGCTGTCCAAGAGGATCACCTGCAAGGGTACAGTGCTACCAGGAAAAAAACTGGGGAGTAGGAGACTAGAGGGAAAGATACATTTGTCCACAGGATCACGACAAGAGAAGTGTCTTAGAAGAACACACAGAAGTGCTTCATGAGAGAAAGAATCAGCTTCAACATGCACCAGGTCTATGAGAAGCCCAAGGCAGTCAAGTAAGACCTTCCATGAATCCTTGCCTTGTTTCCCTCCTGACCTCCTGCCTCTACTCCTGACCTGCCTCTATTCCTTCTGACCCCTTACCTCCTTTCTTTCTGACCCCTTATCTCTCTTCCACTCCTGACCCCTTATCTCTACTCCCTTCTGATCCCTTGTCTCTCTACTCCTTCTGAGCCCCATCTCCGTCCTTTCTGAACATTTACTTATCCTCCCTCCTGACCACTTGGCTCTCTTTCCTCCCAGCTTTACCAAATATAAAGTGACCAGAAGCAGCAGTTAGCGAGTGGGGAGAACAGGATTTGATGTACAAGGATGGAAATACAAGAGAAGCTAACTTGCCTAAAGTGACCCAAGTTGATGAAGAGAAGCATTCCCTTTAAACTAAATGTGTACTATTAAATGGAAATGGATGTTTTAATTATTAAAATGATGCATGTTTGTGAATAAAAGTGACTAGATATTTGTTTCTTTTCAGGTAATAAAATGTTATGACTTCTTCCCAAGATGCTCATCCAAAGGGCAGAAATCAAAACTCACTCCATAGAAAAGGTTTAAACAGGCAAGAAGGAGAAACCGGAAGTTCTTGAATCACAACTCACCAGCCTGCCTCCTTCCACATGTTTATACTTTCTTCACATGTACTCCAGGTCAGGGTGAAGCATTTCGTGTGCCCCTAACAAAGAAGAGGCAAGCAGAGGAAGCGCAGGGGACTCTGAGCAATCAGTATCCATCTTTAAGTACCACGTGTAGAGCCCACAACATGAGCTACTCATTTTAAGAGAGGCTTTTAAAAGGAAGTGAGGGACACCAACTTCTCATCCACAAAAATCTCTCTTTCTGCCAAGGTCAGAGAAGGAAAATCAACCTAGACAAGTCATAAGTCCAGCAATGATTCATGATAATGTGTGCTCCGTTACCTGTTGGGGCCTTGGTGTCAGTTTTCTTGCTCTTTCGGCTCCCCTTCTGGGCCCACACGTACACCTTGTATTCCACGCCCGGCCTCAGGCCTGTCAGGATGGTGCTGCTCTGATCCTTCCCCACTGGGACTTCCTTGGTCTCTCCATTAGCAGAAGTGTAGCGTACCACATACTTGTCAATGTCAGCCTGCACTGGGTCCCAGGAGACGGTGGCTGTGTTCTCTGTCACCCGGTCAGTCACCAGGTTTTTGGGGCTGTCAATTTCTTTAAGAAAATATTAGGAAAAAATCTAAGTTTTGAAGGTATAGAAGACATACCCACACCACATGATCATGATCTCCATATTCCAGACCTTTCCCAGAACAAGACAGTGGTGTTCCCATGCTGGGTCTCAGACAGGAGTTTAGGGAACAAACTCCTGGTTCTCAGTTTCATAGGACCAATCGCTATAAACTTGAGATACTTTCTTGGCTTGCAGCTCCTAAAAGTGTGGGAGGAATAACGTCTACTGAACCACATTGTGGCACATCAAAACCACCACTTAAGCACATCAGCCAAGATGTTCAGTGCCTAGAGTATTTATCATTTTATTAAAATGCTTCACTAATGAGTAGTTTTTAATGTTATCAAATCTGCAAGCTTTATTCATGATTGCCAGAAATTGGAAGCTAACAAGATGTTCTTCAATAGGAACACGGATAAATAAATCATAGTGCATCCATACAAGGCGATATTATTTAACAATGAGGTGAAATGAGCTTCAAGTCACAAAAAGACATGGAGAAGATTTAAATGCAAGCTCCTCAAGGAAAGAAGTCACTCTGCAAGAGTATATATTGCATGATCCCAACTAGAAGGTATTCTGGAAAAAACAAAACTATAGATACAGAATAAAGGTCAGGGGCTTAGGGCGAGTGGAAGAGGAATGAGTAGGAGGAGCACAGGTCATCTGAAGGGCATGAAACTAGAATGGTGGACACATGACATTAAGTATTCCTAAAAACCCGAACTGTACATCACAAAGAGAGAGCCCCAATGTAAACTTGGATTTGGGTTTAAAATAATGTAACAGTGTTGGCTCATCAATGTTTATAAATGTGCCAAGCCAACGCAAGATGTTAGTCATAGGAGACACTGTGTGAAGAGGGGGTGGGGGATTTATGAGAGGGCTGCACAATTTTTCTATAAACCTAAACTCCTCTAAAACTAAAGTCTATTAAAAAGAAAATGATCACAAGCAATGGAATGGCCAGATCCTTTTAATGTCTATGCTGAACCTGATAAGAACAAGACTGCTGTTGTTGTTGTTAAGTGCCATGGAATCAGTTCTGACTTGTAGTGACCCTGTTTGGGCTTTCCAAGGATTGACTGATGAATTTGATATGCAAATCTTGCAATTAAAACTGACCTTGCATTCCAGTGCATTATCCCATAATGCAAGACTGTTGTTGTCAGGTGCCATCGAGTCGGAACTGACTCATAGTGACCCCATGCACAGCAGAACAAAACAATGTCCGATCCTGGGCCAACCTCACTACCGCTGCCACACTTGAGTCCATCAATGATACCACCTGGCCAATCCATCACATTGGGGGTCTTCCTCTTTTTCTCTGACCCTCCACCTTACCCAGCATGACATCCTTCTCCAGCAACTGTTCCCTCCAGACAATATGTCCAAAGTATGAGAGACAAAGTTTAGCTATCTTGGCCTCCAAGGAGTACTCTGGCTGCATTTCTTCCAAAACAGATCTATTGGTTCTTTGGGCAGTCCATGGCACTTTACAGTTCCTTACTATCCAGGAGAAACAGCTTCCTGTGACCCTCACAACAGCTCACTGTTTTTCTTGGGTCTTAAGATTTCTAGCTGCAAATTTCCTCAGCTCAGGTCACAACCTTTGGTACCAGGTATACCCAAGCACACCGGCTCAAACTTTAATTCCAATTTACCCTCCCTCAGTAACTAAAACAGTTATCTATTCTCCGCTCTTGTTACCTGTCGGGGCCTTGGTGTCAGCTTTCTTGCTCTCTCGGTTTCCCTTCTGGGCCCACACGTGCACCGTGTACTCCACACCTGGTCTCAGGCCTGTCAGGACCGTGCTGCTCTGATCCTTCCCCACTGGGACTTCCTTGGTCTCTCCATCAGCAGAGGTGTAGCACATCACATACTTGTCAATGTCGGCCTGCACTGGGTCCCAGGAGACGGTAGCTGTGTTCTCTGTCACCCGGTCAGTCACCAGGTTTTTGGGGCTGTCAATGTCTTTAAGAGAGAGATAAAATAAGAGTGTAGTATTACCAAAGTCTAGTTTCTAAAAAGAGTCTCACTCAGGGTGATGTAAAAGAGTGACATACTTGACTTCTAACCAAAATGTTAGAGATTTGAGTCCACCCTGAGGCACCTTGGAAGAAAGGTCTGGCAATCTACTTAGGAAAAATCAGCTATCAAAAATTCTATAGATGAAAAACCGACAGGAAAAATACAAAACAATATAGGTAGTCGGACTGATTACTACAAGAACAAGTAAGTTGCTCACACAGGAGACAATCAAGCCAAGTGGTCAGGTCCCCTCAGGGCAAACCCCCTTCCAAGACTAAGACTCAATGGAAATACACGCTCTGATTGGTGACCACGTTCATCACCAATAAAGGGAAGTGAAGGAAAAACAGCAATGAAGCTGTAAGCTAAGCCCTACAATGTTTAATAGACTCTTGTAAATCCAGGTGGAGACCTGGTCGGCCAGCAGTGTGGCAAGACCTGGGGACTCTTGGGCCCAGAGTCAGTGATATAACCACAGAGGACTAGAATGGAGAGTGAAGTATCCAGCTGATAAAAAGAGAGGGCATACGCATAATAACACCCACACTTGCAGATAATACCCACTTGACCTGGCTTCAATGACTGCATGATCAGAGCTCAACTAAAAGAAGAAAGAAGAGGCACAAAAGAGTAATCTGATACGATATGATGAATTTGACCTACACCTATGGATACAGTATCTCCAAAGAGAGAACAAATCTTTACAGCAAGGATCATTCCCACCCCCTCCATACACAGAGTAGACAGGGATGGGCAACTTGGACATTGGCTACCCAAAATGGGGGTAGGGGGGAGGAGTGCTACAAAGGCAAGAAGTGACTGGCTTACAAGCTTTCAAGAGGGAGCCTAGATCCAGAGGGTACGGAGGAAGGTAGAATCTCCACTGAGTAGTATCTAATCTGTCTGGACAGGGCTAATGAAAGGAGATGGGGGGGATAGATTTCTTGTGGTACAATGGTGAATAATTGTTATCAGGACTGATTGTGAGGATTGGAAATGTAGAAGTGGACATTTTGTAGCAAAAGGAGGGGAGTGATTGGCTTTGCAGTCCAGGAGCGGAGGTCCCCGCAACCATCCAGGGAGAAGAGCGGAGTGCGGGACCCTACCCAGAGAAGCAGTGATGCCAGAGATGGAGACAGAGACAATGACATGGAGAGATGGAGCAGCTGGGGACTTTAGACCCAGAGAGGGAGAGGGGCTGTGTGCTGACGACCAGGGGGCAGGCTCGCAGGCAAAGGCAACTTTTGGCTGGTTCATGATGCATGGAGGGTATTGTAATCATGGCAATGAAACAATATATGATAGGATGAATGTAAAGCTAATGTTCTCCCATGTAAACTATCACATAATTCACAATAAAATATTTTTTTAAAAAGAAACATTTTTTTTAAAAACTCTGACACAATAGCATGGCTCTGAAAGAGAAAAAAACACACCACAATTCTATAGAATACAGTTTTACTCTGATACACAGAGGGTCACTGTGAATCCAAACCAATTCAACAGTAACTGGTATGGTTTAGCTCCTAAAAGAAAACTTGCAGTGCATTATTGATATGGTTCTTCTAGCCAATCATTGTAAGTCTTACCAAACGACTGGTTTGTTGTTGTTATTAAGTGCCATCAAGTCGGTTCCGACCCATAGTGACCCACTATCGGGTTTCCAAGGAGCAGCTAGTGAGTTTGAACTGCGGACCTTGTGGTTGAAAATCAACTTTGCAGTTCAGCACCTCAACTCACAGCGCCACTCCAGGACATAAATGTGAGGTGTCTGTGGTCCAGTAAGAGGATTAGATAGCTTGCTAATAATGTAAATAAGGTACATGTCATTGATGTGGGGTTGTTGTTAAGTGCCATGGAGTTGATTCTGATTCATAGCGACACTATATAGGGTTTCTAAGAAGCAACTGGTGGATTTGAACCACCAGCCTTGTGGTTCAAACCGAAGTACCAGTCCAGCGCATTATTCTGCAGCACCACACCAGGGTGGGACCATGCAAATAGGGTACTTATCATGGAGGAACTTTATCATGGAGATTGGTCAGTTTTGTCATCACAATAGATTTAATATGAACCATCTCAGAAGCAGGAACAAGAATCTCATTAATATCAACAAAGATGACTAGGGAGCAGAGCGCACCCTTTGGACCCCAAGATCCCTGTGCGCTGAGCCACCTTGATCTAGGAGACAGAGAGCTGTGACACCAGAGAAGTGGCAGAGCAGTCATAGCAACAGAGGCAGTAGCCCCGAAAGCATGAGACAGAGCAGTGGGCTTCCTGGATCACGGAACAGGACGGCTGAGTGCCTTCAGGAAAGAGGTTTGCTTTCGGAGTAAGGTGCCTCCTAGGCATTTGTCTGGGGAGCTGCTGATCTACTGAGCCAGAGCTGAGCATCTTTGGGCCAGTACTACTGGAAAATTGGAGTGCCTTTTAGGCATTTATTGGCAATGATAAAAGAACTTTGTAACACTGACCAAACAGGGCTGAGGCGAAAAGAGCTGCAGGGCTAAGAAGCAGAGGACCAGAGAGAGGTGTGCTGTGCGTATGGGCACAACTGAGAAGAGAGAGGCACACCCTGACAGACAGAAGAACTGTAGCCTGAATATTTCTGCCTGTGAATTATAACCTGCTAACTCCTCCAATAAGCCCTATAATCATGAGAATGGTCTGTGAGTTCTCTGTGGTCATTGCAACAAATTATTGGAACCAGCAGAGAAATGGAGAGTAGTCTGTGAGGGATGATTGGTGCCTGAATTGGCAAAGAAGGCACGTCTCATAGGAAATCAGCTTTGGGCGGGTGTTGAGTTTGATTTTTCTACCCTCATGTCATTCTCACAACAGTGACGATTCCAACAATTTTCATAATCTGCTAAATACCAATGACTGGAATAACTTAAGAGTTGAATAAAGTCAATGGTCTAAAATTTCATTAAATGAGCATTTAATGAGAAGTAGGGTTTTCAGACAAAGCCAATATTTAGTCTCATCTTTATAAACTTTCCCCACCTTTGGATAAAAGGATTTGATCTTCATATACAAATTTCTCTTTTTCCCTGAATTTATATAATATGCTCTTTCAGTTTCTGACTCTTTGTACCTCAAAGCAATTAAATTTCAATAAACTTCTACATCTGCTCTCATATGTTCTTAAGGAAGAAAAATATCCTGAAAAATAAAGCTGTCAATTCTCTTTATAGAAAACATTATGTCTGTGGCCAGGGAACCAAGACACTTTGAAATTGATGGTATTTGAGATCTGGGTTTATCAAAATAATCTTACTAATAAAACTTGTCTGGCTTTTTATGTCATTATATTGGGTTAGACTTGAGTTCCATCATTTTCTGGTTGGTGAGCAAGTGATTTAAGTCTTGGTTTTCTCAACTCTACAAAAAAGAAAACATCAGTACCTACCTCCGAAGTTATAGCCAATAGTAAATGAGAAATTGCATAGTAAATGCTTAAGTATGAGCTCTTTGCAATGAGTAATATCATTTGAGGTGTGAAATACCATCTTCCCCTTGAAATGTAAACCCCTAGAGAGTCAGAAATCCATGTGTTTGGGTATATGATCTTTGTTGTTACGATGAGGATATTTTATTATACTGTTTCAGAAACCTCCTCCACAAACCGTTGTGCCTTCTGTTATTGCAAATGCATTTCACACCTACTCAACCATCTCTTGCCAAGCATGGCCACATGGCTGCCCCAGCTCAGAGGGATGTATTGCATAGCCAGATGCTGTTCAGAAAGCACCACAATGATCTGACATACACAGACAGAACAATTTAGCTCCTGGGAGTCGGCTGGTGTTATGGATTAAATTCTCTTCCCCAAAATACTTCCTGAACCTGGGAATGTGATCCTGTTTGTGTTTTTCTTTTGTTATTTCATGAAGTCATGCCAGAGCAGGGTGGGTCCTATACCTAGTAACTTCTGGGTTATAAAAAAAATGCTAAACAGACACAGAGAACACAGGAAGACCAATGTCACCTGAGGACCCATCTACAAGAAAAGGAACACCAAGGATGGCTTGCAGATGCCAGAACCTAGGAGAGGAGCCCAGAGAACAGGAGTGGGGAACACCTGGCCTGCGAAGTCATTTGGCCTGGTCCTGCCAAGTCAATCACAATTCCAGTTACCACATTGTTGTTGTTGTTAAGTGCCGTCAAGTCAATTCTGACCCATAGCAACCCTGTATAGGGTTTCCAAGGAGCAACTGGTGAGCTTGAACCACCGACCTTGCAGTTCAAACGACTTTGCAGTCTGGTGCATTAACCCACAGCGCCATACCAGGACTCTTAATTAAGTGACCAAATCTAACAAGCTAATTTTTAAGCTAATAATTTTGTATGACCCATGAATGATATTATAAATTTTGGCAGAAAAAAAGGTTCCCCACCTCCAGCCTTATAATATAACTCACAATACTTTTTCTTTTACTTTCCTTCTCTACCCAGAGGGCTGTAAACTTCAAATGGATAAGTACTCTGTCTTTCATTTTTATATCCCTATTGTCTGACACCTTAGCAATACTAACACCTAGTGGTTGCCCATATGCTGAAGGGTTTACACCATCCCCACTGAGAGAAGAGAAAGTTCCTCTCCAGTCCAACTTCTTCTGTCTTAAAGAGACAGATGTGTGTGTTTTCTCTCTTTGCACTTACAATGCTGTTACACAGAAAGCCACATGTCACTTTTAACTAGGAGCTGGCAATCTATGGCCCACTGACCAAACCTTATCCACTGTCTGCTTTTATAAATAAACTTTTACTGGAACACAGTCACATACTGTAAATTGACATATTGTCTATGGCTGCTTTCCACTTCTCTAGCAGAGTTGAATAGTTGCAACAGAATTTAATGGTCCATAAAGACAAAAATATTAACTATCTGGACTTTTACAGAAAGTCCATTGCCCCTCATTTTGAACATACTTAGGGGTCACCATCCTTACTTTCTCCTTCTCTTCCTCTCCCCTGGAGGAGAGGCCAGCACTAAGACCCACCTACATCTACGGGAAAGGGCTCTGGTAGCATAGTGGTTACAAACAGGGCTGCTAATCTCACAGTTAACAGTTTGAAATTACCAGCTGTCCCTCAGAGAAAGATGAGGCTTTCTGCTCCCATAAGGATTGACAGCCTCGGAAACCCTGTACAGGGTCACTGTAAGTCGGAACCAACTCCACGGCTCATAACAACAACATCTAGCGGACTGTGTCCACAAAATACTTCAAGAGCCAAGTACCAGTTAATATTCAGTTAAATAATCATTGCTATTGGCGCCATAGTTAAATACTCAGCTTCCAACTGAAAGGGCAACAGTCTGAACCCACCAGTTGCTCCGTGGGAGAAAGATGAGGCAGTCTGCTTCTGTAAATATTGTTGTTGTTGTTAAGTGCCGTCGAGTTGGTTCCAACTTACAGTGACTTTGTATAGGGTTTCTGAGGAGCTGCTGGTGGGTTTGAACTGCTGACCTTGTGCCTTGTAGTCTAGTGCTAATCCTACAGTGCCTTGAATACCCTATGGAACAGTTTTACTCTGTTCTACAGAGTTGCTATGAGTTGGAATCAACTCGACAGCAATGATTGTTTTGTTTGGGGTTGAACTACCAAATAGTAGAAGTGGAATTAAACCATAGTCTTCACTTGTATAACTGCTCCTTTCAGTCTCTCGCCTAGGTGACTGTATAGAACAGAGCCCAAATGATAAGGAAATTCTTTGCCCGTGATGTCTTGTCAAGTGTCCGGAATCTCAAGAGGGCTCTAGGATCAGGCTGCTCTGAATTAAAGGAAAGCGCCAATAGCAGAGGAGGATTGAAGCAGAAAGAATGACCCAGTTATCCCTCAGCACAGCATCCGGATGCCTGTAGGCCCAAGCTGAGCAGAGCAACCGGGTGAAGTATGGGGGCCCTTAAACAGTTTCTGAAAGCTTCAAGGCAACTCAGTACTTTTGCTTAATGTTGACTCAGGATGCAGACCATTTCCACGGTCTGAAAGAGCTTCAGATGATATGCGAAGTGCCTGTGTAGCCGCTGCAAACTGAGATAAGCATTCAAATTCATTGGCAGCCAAATGTTTTGAGTTTTCACATCCCAAAATGAAAATTAGAAAGTATTGCTCTACTCTGAGGGAGATGCATATGGAATTCCAACCCAAATAAGTATGACCGTTGTAATGAATAAGAAGACTGGTCTCTTTGGTTTGAGGTCAAGAATGAAAAATTTATAATTATGAAGTTAGAAATTGCTTTTACAACCCTCTCTCCTACATCCTGCAAAGAAACAAAGATCGGTTGTCTCCTGATTCAAAACCAACCTCTCCCAGCCATGAGGAAAACTGATTTTGTTCTGGTTCTTCCATTACCTGTGAGGGCATTAGTATTGGCTTTCTTGCTCTCCTGGTTGCCACGCTCAGCCCAAACGTGAACATCATACACCTCTCCCGGCTTCAGGTCCGTCAGTACTGCGCGGCTCTGGTCCTTGTCCACCGCTGTCTCCTTGGCCTCCCCGTCGATGGAGGTGTAGCGTACCACGTACTTGTCTATGACGGCCTGCACAGGGTCCCAGGAGACTACCGCTGTGTCTTCGGTCACTCGATCCGTGACCACATTGGTTGGACCATCAATTTCTTCATAAAAATATATGAGGAAGAAAAATTAAACCATACATGAATGTTTATAACAGCTTTATTCAGAACTGCCAAAAGTAGGAAGCAACCAAGATGCTCTTCAACAGGTGAATCGATAAACAATCTGTGCTACATCCATACAACAGACTATTAGTCGGCAATAGAAAGAAATGAGCTCTCAAACTACAAAAAGGAATGGAGGAATCTTAAACACACGCTGCTGAGTGAAAGAAGTAAGTCTGAAAAAACTATATACTATAATGTGCTGGACCACAAGGTCGGCAGTTCCGACTCACCAGCGGCTCCTTGGAAACCCTTTATAGGGTCACTGTGAGTCAGAACCAACTCGACAACACTTAACAACAACAATATGACATAAAGCTATAGGTATATGATATTCTGGAAAGGCAACACTATAGAGATGGTCAAAAGGCTGACAGTTACCAGAGATTCTGGAAAAGAGGATAAGGTTTGCATAGGTGGAACACAAGGCATTTTAAGGGCATGATATTACAATAGAAGATATATGGCATTGTGCATTTATCAAAACCCATAGAACTGTACAACACAATGAGTAAGCCCTAAGGTGAACAATGGGCTTTAGTTAATAATAAGGTATCCATGTTGTTGTTGTTAAGTGCCATTGAGTAGGTTTCGACTCATAGTGACCCTGTATAGGGTTTTCAAGGAGCGCTGGTGAGTTTGAACCACCGACCTTGCAGTTCAACATGACCTTGTGGTCCATTGCTTATCCTACGGTGCCACACCAGGACTCCAAAGTATCAATAGGGGCTCATCAACTATAACAACTGTACCACACAAATGCAAGGTATTTATAATAGTAGAAACAGTATGGGGGAGGGAAGAGCGGATAAATGGATAGAAATCTCTGTACTTCCTGCTAAATTTTTCTGCAAACCTAAAATTTTCCTGAAAAAATTACATGTATGAATGTTTTTTAATAGTGAAATCATTTGGCTGGCCCAGAGATCACAGATGCTTAAATGTTTAGTTAATCTGGTGACTTAGTTCAATAGTCTACGTAAAACATTCTGCCACCATAACAAGTGGAAAACTGGCCTCTGCTCAAGCTCTAGACTGGGACAGGGCTTCTGTCTTCAGATCACAAACCCATTCGCAAAACACCTTCAAGTATGTCTACTCTCAGCAGACACACACACAAAAATCTAATTCTTCTTCTAAGAGACCACCCAGCAAGTATTCAAGAACAGCTATTCTTCCCCCTTTTTAATTCCTCTCTAATCAAAACTGCTTCATCTCTCTCACGCATTCCTTTATAATTAGTCTCTAGACCTGACTCTCATATCTATACATGCTCCTGTCTTTCCATTCTCTAATTAAAATCTCCAAAACTCTGTTCATTTGTTCAACAGCCATTCATTGAGAATCCGTTATGTGCCAGTAGACATGACATGTGGGAGTCATCAATGAACATAACAGTCAAAAACCCTTGTGCATGTGCACTTAAAATCTAAAAGGATCACTTTAGCATAATAAGCTAACCATGGCCAGGCAGACACTCTGCTTCCCAGTAACATAGCCTAAGCCCACAGCAGCAGAAGAATCTCTTACATTTTTGTAACACATGTCTCTGCTATACCATAAGTTCTCAATTTTTATTGATATCTGTCACCTACTAAGTGCCACCCTCAAACCTAGTAACAATTGTGAGGTTGGCACAGGAGAGGCAGTGTTTCCTTCTGGCGTGCCTAGGGTCACTGTGAGTCAGTACTGACTTGATGGCACCTAACAACAGCAATAAAGTGTCACCCTGGTGTGGTGCTATGGGACAAAGTTACCCTAAGGTCGGCTTGAACCATAAGGTCAGCAGTTCAAGCTCACCAGCCGCTCCTTGGAAACCCTATACAGGGTCATTATGAGTCAGAACTGACTCAATGGCACTTAACAGCAACATCAACAATGTGCCACCTTAAGAAATTCTAATTAGAAGGCCCTGGCATCTCTGTTTCAAAACTAAAACAAAACAAACTTCTCACAGGAATTCTAATGTACACCAAGATTTGAAAATCTCCAAGATAGGATAAATTTTCACCTTTTTTTCTTCCAAAACATACTTTTTACATATGTAGACTGCATTTTGGGGACATTTATCCTTGTTGTATTTTATCTTATGGATTCCATTTGTAATTTAGTCTTTCATTCAGTGTACCAACATTATTTCCAGCTTCTTGTCATTTATGAATTTAATAAACCATCTGAGCGCACTCACAAAGATCAGTGATAAAGATGCTACACAGAATGCGGAGGAAGCACACCACAAGAGCCCTTCTTACATGCAGTTTGATTACACACAAGTATTGTTACTCTTAGAAACCAAAGAATTTTTGTTTCTTCCTGAGATGTTCTTCCCCTCTTGGTCATGGGTTGTTAGCAGAGAAGTTTCTATTTAATATGTTGTTCAACGCCAGCAAGTGGGTTCTGACATATAGCCACCCCGTATAGGGTTTCTGAAGAGCGGCTGGTGAGTTTGAAACGCCGACTCCATGGTTCAAACCGACCTTGTGGTCCAGGGCTTTATCCCACAGAGCCACACCAGGACTCCTTCTACTTAATATAGCAGGATTTTTATTTAATTTGTGTGCAATACATATTTGATTTAATAAATTAACTGCCATTTATTGAGATCTATTAAGTGCCACATGCTTTTCATAAATTATTTTATCAAATCTCATAGTAACCATGCAGGGCTTTCACCCATCTCCCATGCACCACTGTTGTTAACTACCATCAAGTCACCTCCAACTGATAGTGGCCCCATGCACAACTGAAGGAAATGCTGCCTGGTGCTGTAAGAACCCCATGATCAAGTGAAGACTGGACCTTTGTGACCCACAGGGTCAACACCTGATTTTCAGAAATAGATCACCAGGCCTTCTTTGTTTGGAAACTCCTCTGAAATCTGTTCAGCATCATACAACATACAAGCCACTAACAGGTGTTAACTGCAATGAGGTGCATTGGCTAGTAATTGAACTTCAAGTCTCGTTTATTAGAGGAAAGAAGTCTACCAGTGAACTACCACTTCCCCCACTTCCCATATACTGGTGCTGTTGGTGGTGGTGGTGTGCCGTGGAATCAGTTCTGACTCATAGCCACCCTGTATAGGGTTTCCAAGGCTGTAAATCTTTACGGGAGCAGAAAGCCTCATCTTTTTCCCACAGAACAGCTGGTAGTTTCAAACTGCTGACCTTGAGGTTAGCAGCCCAACTCGTAATTACTACATTATCAGAGCTCCTTCCCCATATACAAGTTTGGAACATTAATAATACCTACAATTTTTAGAGCAGTAGCTATATTATAGATTTAGAGAGAGTAGACAACTTGCCCAAGATCTCAGTAAATGAACTAACCATTGATTCAATCCACAAACATTCACTGAGCATCTATTACAGCAACCTGCGGCATCCTGTAGGTTAATGTGCTAGATTGCAAAATCTATTTGAACCATAAGATCAGCAGTTCAAGCTTCCTAGCTGCTCCTCACAAACCCTATACAGGGTTTCTATGGATCAGTACTGACTTGATGACGCTTACCAACAAGAACAACACAGCAACCTGTAAATTAAATTAGCATAGCACACTGATACCTGGAGTAGGAGGGCATAGTTAGCAAAAAAAAAAAAAAAAAAGTATAGCATGTACATTATTTACATTAAAATACAGTAGTTGCTGCAATTCAACAGTGAAGAAAACAAAGCCCCTCTCTTGGGAGGAGACAGACAATAAATAAATTTAAAAACCTATAATACATTTAAGGAGCTCTGGTAGCGTAGTAGTTACGAATCGGGCTGCTAACCTCAGTGTCAGCAGTTCGAAACTACCAGCTGCTCCATAAGAGAAAGAAGAGGCTTTCTGCTCCCATAAAGATTTACAGCCTCAGAAACCTGTGGCACTGTAGGTTAATGCGCTAGATTGCAAAATCTATTTGAACCATAAGATCAGCAGTTCAAGCTTCCTAGCTGCTCCTCACAAACCCTATACAGGGTTTCTATGGAGTCGGAACCAACTCCACACCCATAACAACGACAAAAACAACATAACACATTTATTTTGTGGTGATAGTATCATGAAGTCAAATAAGACAAGGTAAATGGATTAGACACTGATGAACAAATGAGATTTGTAATTTGAGACAGGAAGGTCAAGAAAACTGTCTCACTGAGGAGGAAACCTGTAAACAAAGACCTCATGAACCAAGACAGTGCGTCATGTGCAATCTAAAGGAATTCTTCTGCTCAGACAGAGGAGCATCATGTTCAAAGACCCTGCTTCAGGTACTCAGGGACTAGGAAGGGAGCAGTGTTCAGAATCAAGTGGCTCGAGGTGAGGCCAGGGAGGCGAGGGTTAAGTGGATTCTGAAAGGCCTCGAAGGCCACTGTACTGACATGGCTTCTATACTAAATGAAATGAGAAGCTTCGGAGGGTTTGCAAAGAAAAATGAACAGCGTGATCTGACTTGTGTCAGAGTCCCCATAGCTGTTGGGGTAATCAGACTACAGCAGGTCAAGAATGGTAGCCACCTGGGAGGCTGTTACCACAGGTCATGGGAGAGGTGACAGAGATGAGGGACAGCTGTAGAGTGATGAAGGTCCAGAGAAAGGTTAGATTTGGGAGATGTCAAAGATGAAGCTAATGACTTCAAAAAAAAAGTGCTGATACTAAAAAAAAAGTGGGATACCAAGATTGGTTGGTTTGGATCTTGAGCGATTTGCCAAATGGAATAACCATTGATAGAGATACAACAGTCTGGGAGAGGACAGGGTGTGAAGTAGGAGGCGAGGAGAGGAATGGGACAAAGAAGTTTGGTGCAAGACATAGTAAGTATACAGCCCAGATTTGAACCCACTCCAGTTTGTCAAAGAATACACATTTCTATTTTATACCATTATATCAAAAGCAGTAGCCAATTTTTTATGAAGCAACAGCAAAAGAATCATAAAGTGTGGTCTGAAAGATAA